TCACACAGCTGGTAGAGGAGAAATCCAAATATGACTTCGCAGCCAGGCTTTTCCGCTTCTTCCACCGCTATGTCATGTCACATCTCATTTAAAGCTCAGAAAGCAAGTTCTTTACTCTAAAACAGTTTGATACTCTGTGTTTCCTAAAGATAGGGAAAAATAAAATAACTTGAAGAAAATTAGAAACTTATTTTTCTTTGTGGCAAAATGAAAATCTAATCAAAACAGTTGAGTTTATATGTCAAAACTTTAGTTTTCTTTTCATTGGGCAATAAATAAAACTAAAAAAGTATTCAAGTATGAGTAATAATCCACAATTTCAAAATCACTTTGCTTCAAAGTATATTTTGTACCCCATGCTATGAAGTGATGTGAAATACATCATACATAACCATTAAAGAGAACACGGAGCACAGGAAGTTGTGAAAATGGTAAAAATTTTTAATAACGTGGTGTGTAGTAGTTGGCATATACACTTGGTATTACACATTTTCTTTTGAAGTTTTTACTAAAAATAGAAAATGCTAATAAACCTTTTGGGGGAAATCCTTTCCAAATTCCATAATACAGAAACTTCAAAGAAAACGTGGGCTTTAAAAGGGAACCAATATACATGCTATAACATGGATGAACCTCGAGGACATTACGCTAAGTGAAATAAGATAGTCACAAAAAGACAAATAGTGTATGATTTCACTTACATGAGGTATCTAGAGTAGTCAAACTTACAGAAACAAAATAGAACGGTAGTTGTGAGAGGTGAGGGAGAAGAGAGAAGGAAGAAGTGGTACAGAATTTCAATTTTGCAAGACAAAAAAGTTCTGGAGATTGGCTGCACAACAATGTGGATACACCTAACACCACTGAAATGATTAAGATGGTAAATTTTGTTATGAGCATTTTACTACAATTAAATCTTTTTACAAAGGATCCAATGAATTATTATTGTGATAATGATACTGTGGTTATGTTCTAAAAACAAAACATTAGAGATACATACAAAGTTGATATTTGCAGGTTGATGGGTATATGGATGTTTGTTACACTATTCTACTTTTGCAAATGTTTGAAATTGTCTTGAATGAAATAAAACAAAATAACTTTTATGAAAAAGGGAACCAGTAAGGAAATGAAATTTCCTAATCAAGAGAATCTTCTATCATGAAAATATTTGATTATAGTTTAAACATGTAAAATGTAGTAGCATTTTAGCTACAACTGATAAATGTGGCACCTCACTTATTTCGCTTTGGAGAAATCTGCTGAAAACTAGAATGGTTTACTGGGTTTGCATTAGAAAAACTATATGGAGAAAATTACATGAACAGTCTACGTTTGCTATGAAAACAACGTACTTTTATTAAGGTAATTGAAAGTCAAAAGAAAACAACAACAAAAGGGAAATTCCACAACCTTTGTTTGCAACTATATATAATCTTTATGTAGAAAAACTATAAAGTGACAGTCTGATCTGGAAAGCAGCTCCACAATAAACCTAATCCTAACATAGAGTTAACTAAATTATGGAGTCAGTTCACCCAAAAGAAATTGTCTTGCTGTAGAATATTTCAGCCAAGCTGATTTCAACTACATTATTCTCATTTCTGACAAACTGTATTTCCTGATATTTCAAATTACCAGAGATATACAAGAGCCTGTTGAAGTAAAAGGATAAAACAAATACTCCAAGCACAATTACATGTGAAAATGAATGAGGGCATTATATCTATAGATCTACAAAACTATACAAATTACCAATTATACATACAATCCATTTACATCGAAGCTCTATGAGGTGGTACTGAAAAAACACTGAGGCATTGAATTTTCAAGAATGGAACAAGGCTCACTCTGAACAGCAGCACATTCCCACCTTTCAGTCTATCATCACGACACTTCCCCTGGGATTTGCATTTGTATATTATCTAAATCCTAGAAAGTTGACAACAAAAATTTAAAAAGTCAAAAGGATAATGAATTAAACACTCTCTAACATCTATTCTAAAACATGCATGTGAAAAATGAAGAGGCCAAGCACTCTGTAAATGTGAGTTTTTACAGTCATGTTTCCTTCAGCTTATATGAGGATCTTCACTAGTATCTGCACTGAATTTACTCTAACTAGGCTTTCCAATGCTATGTAACAGAAGAGGAAAACAAAAAAAATTTTTAAGTGGTACTATGTATTTTTAAAAACAACTTTCTCTCCTTAAGAAACCACACTGTTGTGGTCATCAGAATAGTTTAAGTCACTTTGGCAATACAGACTTATTTGCTCTTATTTTGAATAATAATAATGATAAACTATTATCATGGCCATATAATTTTTCAGAACCTATGCCACTATGGAGACAAATGAGTACAGAATATCTCTAATAAACCTAAATTTGATAATGATTAAAATTTCTTAAAAATATTTTCAAGTACTCAAGAATATTAAAGGTTAGGTGGAAAATACTTAAGTCATAATCAAGTATTTTCTCCAAGATTCTTTAATTGAGATAAAAGTCTCAGGGTAAGCCCATAGAATGGTCTGCAATAAAGAAAAATCAGGTCAGTGTATAGTAATTTCTGCCAACTTTAGCAGAAAAGCCAAAAACATTCTAAGCCAAATAAAAGCATTCTTTTGGGTCAGGGCTTTTTGTTGTGTTAATTCTTTAATCAATAACTTCTCAACATGTTATAGCTCAGATATTCTCATATGCTTCCTATCAGTAATCAGTATCAGTAATAAGAAACTACAACATCAAAGATTCACCAACATGATCCTTTTCTGTCACGAGTCTCTCTTTGGCAAGAAAGAGACCAACTCTTATTTTCTCTCAACTGTAGAAGAGAGGAGAGTTAAATGGCATTAACCTGGTAAGGAATCCCTGTGTATAAATGTTAGGTTGGAGGGTAAAGAGCTTAAACCATGCCCTTTATAAGAGTAGACAACAGAGGATTTTCTCTTACATGTAGCTGTGGTAGAGGACAGAACTATTACATAGCTGGAACACAGTCTTTCCTGTAACTCAAAGACCATGCGCGTGAACATTTTAGTAAACCTACAGAAATTTTGCTAAGTACCTTAAAGAATTTAGGCATGTTCTTTAGATAAGAAACAAATGAATAATAAGCTATTATAAAAATACGGTAGAATGTCTTTCCCCTTACAAGTCACTAATTTCTGATCCCATTAAACTTTCATAGAATCCATGGGAAATTAAACAGGCTTATTCTAGATATTTTCTCATAAAGTAAAATTGGAAATAACCTAACAATACCATTTGCAATTCAAGAAAAAGAAATCCAATGGAATCTAACGCACACATTAACAAACATCACAGTATATATTTTATTAGCAATCACCTACCCACTCACCCAAAAGGAGGCCAGTTTTACCCACTGTAAGATAAACTATGATAGTTATATCTGGATCCAGATAGAGAACTGCTAAATTCCACTGCAATAGGAAAAATACTACCTGTAAGTACCTGAAACTGACCGAACATTTTCTACGTAATCCTGTTTCTTTAGGATATTTTTTAAAAGAGAGATTCCTTGCAACTTGACTAGAAAAATCATTACTTGACCAATTATTTCTAAGCCTATACTAGATACCGGTGAATGATGAAGTGCCAAAATCTCCAGCAACTCAACAGTACTGTTATTTTTGCAAAGAAAGGTAGATTATATAAAATTCCATTCTCCCAAGCAATGATCAGGGGAGAAAAACATGTTACTTTTTAAATGGCTATATTTATAACTTTTTAAATATCAGCACCAAATGTTCACTTTTAATTCTTCTGAGCAAGTTTTAGGAATTAACAAAATGGACAGAACAGTGAAGGATAAGAGAGTAACTTTCAAGTAATATTTGCATGCTGATTAGAAACATTAAGTAAAATAATCTGACTGGCTCATTTTCAAAGCTATTGTATATTTGCCCAGTTTGGAAACAGCATGCCTCACTGCTCAGCTAATATAGCTACTCCCCAAATCATGGGTACAGCACATTTTGTGACTAGGCAAGATTAAGTAAAACAAATTGAAAGGATATTTTTTAAAAAGCAAGCTAAATCAAAACAAATCATTATCAGAATAGTTCTCTACTTTCTCTTTTGGGGGGAAACCCCATGAAACCACTGTATAAAGTGCCTAAATAAAAAACTGAAAGCAAGATTCACAAGTAATAGTGTCAGTTCAAGTCTACATAACCCTTTATTATATTTATAGCAATATTATGATCAACATTATACAAGTTTTCATATTTCTTCCTCATACTATGAAATTTTATTCTCATCGAGTTTAACTCTGCAAACGGTTTAATCAACTTTTTGCACCTTAAGTTTACAAACCACTGGATGTTAAGTTTCTTGAAAAATATTTTTAAATTTTACTTAAAGCTATAACTAAAACCAAATCTATTTAAAAAAAAAAAAAACTAAGCTGTTTTAAACAGAAACTTGTGGAAATATTCTGATACCAGTGTTTGAAAGACAGCCTACAGCCAGCAGACTTTATAAAAGAGCAACTATCATACAAAGGAATTCTATGGCCAAACCCTATTAGGAAATTTCTTTTATAAATAAACTTCTTTCATGATAAAAGATGAACTCAAAAGATGGAGATTTAATTTTCTCTTAAAAATAAGTAGTTGCTCAGAACATGGGTTGGGCATATTGAAATCATATCACTTCTCTGAAAAAAGAAAAAATGTTTTAGCCAGGCATTCCATTAACAAAACACCATGCCACATCCACCTAGTTTTTTGATCTCTCGGTATCAGTATTATCCAAGAGAACCTTACTGAAGAAATTGGTTAGTAAACCTACCAAGTAGGAGTCTCAGGTCCCTTAATTTGGATAGTCATCTCAGTAAATATAAAACTTTAGCTACTTGAACATGAGAGCTTATAAAGTGCATTAGGTATAAGAAACACAACAGCAGGGCCAAACTCAACTTAGTAGGACCATCAGGGACTTGATATCACCAATGGGGCAAAAAAACAACATTACAGGTTTCTGTTCAGATTTTATTTGAAATCTAATTCAAATTGTCAAAGCTACAAAAGGGGGGAAGACATCTGTATTATTTTTGCTAAGTCACAACAACCTAAAACAAAATACTACTACTGCCAGCAGATCCATTATACACATTTCTGATGAAATTCATTAGCACAATAAAAATTTCATCTTGAGAAACAGCCACAACAAAAGTAATTTACACAATATAAAACAATGACAGATCTACAGATGCTGTTACTCATGAGTTTACACATGCATTCACAAACAAACAAACAAAAAACCCCAGGAATGCCTTTCATTTGATTTTTGTTTTGTTTTTTTAAAAAACAGACCGTTCAGGCACAAAACAAAATTGCATTTCCAATAAATGACAGAATCTTAAAAATTTATGTCAGTGTTTGTTTTTCTTTGACTTTTTATGAGACCTGTGTGGAGATCGAGACTGAGATCTGGATTTCTTCCCTGATTTTTTAGGGGATCTAGACCGTGATCTCCGAGATCTTTTAGGTGTCCTTGAAGCAGATGGAGATCTGAGAAAACAAACAAAAAAAATCCCAATGTATCAAAGTACTCATGTGATCAAAACTGATTATCCTTAAATTATCTAAAATGATCTTTAACAGAGCATAATGAAAGTCACTGAAATAAATAAAACTATAAACTTCTCAAACTTATTCTCTGCCTATTATACACATAAACACACAAAAATTTATTTTGTACTTACTATGCACTGCCATCACTGATCATCAGTAGAGTGCTTGTTTAAAATGACAGATTTCTGAGCCTTACTACTGCTCTATTGAATCAAAATCTCTAGAGGTAGGGACTGAATATTTGCATTTTTAACAAGCTCCCAGGTGACTGTTATCCCCAAAATGTGAACCTCTAATCTACAAGATAAAGTTCAAAATTGCATCTAAGATCATTCACAAAATTTAAAAAACAAAGCAGCTTTGCAGCCTATCATCTTGAGGGAAAAAGCATCGATTACTGCAATATCATTCAAGGACATCATGTAAGACAGCATAATTTTGTAAGTGCTGCTCATTAAGATCACCAAAACAAATAAATATACGTGTACATATACATACACATATATATGCAAGTGCCAGTTAGAAAAGAAGAGCCATTTTATAAAGATTTTACTAAAAATAGTTACAATAATAAAGTGTTAGCATACGAAGCAGTATTAGCTCTAAAGAAAATTCCTCTATATAACACCAGATAAATAAAACACTTCCGAACCACTTTTCTGTAACAAAAAGGAAAAAAGTATATAAAATACTAAGTTACATACTGAAGAACTAGTATTTATGGTGTGTATTTACATAAATCGCTATCCAAAAACTTGCTAAATACTATTACTGTGGGAGGAAAATGTGTTTTTCTTTAAGCTTCAGCAAAAATTAAAAAATATTCTATAGAAACTAAAGAAAAGAATGAAAAGTAAAGCAACTACACCTCTTGCACAGGAAAATTGGTTGGTCTTTACTTGTTGGACACCTTCTTGTACTTTAGTCACAAAAGAGACTGGGATAGGGAGGTGGGGAAGAATAACCTAAAATGAAAGTGCATCTCTCTTGTTTTCTAAAATCCTTTTTTAAAAAGTATGCCAACCAAATTATTTTCAAAAGCTGGTAAAATGACAAGGAAACTGGTATTTGAAATATTACCAAAAATGACTTGCATTTACCTTTTGGCTTTTTTGCTAACATCTCTAGGAGAATCTTTGTGAGATGACCTGGACCGTGAGCTCTCTTTATGAGATCTTTCTGAACGCTCTGATCGCTCCGATTTTGGTGATGGGGATTTCACTCGTCTACCACTGCTACTGCGAGATGGGCTGGGGGATGTACTGTGTCGCCTTTTCCTATGGAACAAAGCCCCCAAAACATTCCGTAAGTAAGCCAAGGATCTGGTATTCATTTTCCTTTGCTAAATTAGCTATTAATTCCTACCAGTTTACTCTAACTTATTCTCACTAGCCATATTAATGTTATTTTCTAATAATATTCAATATTCTTTATACCAAGAACAAACAAGTCAAAGATAAGCTGATCAAGAGACAAGTGAACTTGGATAAACCAGATTTTCTTTTGTTATAAGAGAGATTATTGGAATAGGCAAAATTTAATTAAGGTCTCTGGATTAAAGTGGTTTTTTAAAAAAAAATGTTAATTTCCTGAACTGATACTTTTATTATGGTTAAATGAATGTGGGTTAAGAGAATGGAGTATTGTGTTGGCAAACTATTCTTAACCAGTTGGGGGTGGGGCAGAAGAAAAAGAATAAGGCAAAAGTAGAAATGCTGTATTTTAACATTTGAGTAATGTGGGTGATGGGTATCTAGGAATTCTTTATACCATTCTTGCAACTTTTCTACAAACCTGAAATTATGTCAAAATAATAATAAAAGACAAAAAAGTGACACACTTTTTATTTAACCAATTGGTATGATTTTGTTATCTGAACTACTGCAGAGTGACTAAGCCAGAATTTTTGTATCTGCAATCACTTGGTTTTTGTGTTAGGAAACCAAGTTCTGTTCTGTTAACTGGTTCTGTTAACTGAAGCAATTTTCTTTACTAAATCAGAGATTTAGGAACTGTGAAAGAAATAAGAACTGAAAGAGAAATGCTTTTGATTAGAATGAAGACTTAAAGTGAGGGGCAAGTCCCTATGGCCTATGTATACAATCTCCTTGCAAGACAAGAGTGAAACTCAAGTTTACAGGTAGCACCCTCAGCACATAGAGACTGGAAAAAAATGCTTATATTGGAGGCAACAACAAAGATCTAGCAAGCTGTTTTGTTATTTAAGCCTCAGGTTGATACCTAGTACTGTAATTGAATTCTTGCATGGAACTGAGTCTAAGGATACCACATGAACCATGTAAAAGGATGATGCCTCAGTTAACTAAGCCAAGTACTAACTAAATGCCCCATTTCTCAGCTAATTCTGCCTCCTTCAGGCAGGAGCCAACATGTTTATCATGAAAAAACACTTCCAGTTTGTTGGCATCAGTAATGAAAATATAAAATGAAACACCATTCCAAATCTTGAAATCAGTATGTGCATTAAATATGAGAAATGTTATACCTTTCTTTCCTTGTTGGAGTACACTCATCTTTTTCCTTCTTGTCTTTGGATCGAGATTCCAATTTTTCTTTATCCTTCTTGTCTCTTTCTCGTTCTCTTTCTAATTCTTTTTCTTTCTCCTGTTATTTTTTAAAGAAAACATTTGACTGTTCAAAAATACCAATCTGGGTTAATCTCATTTCTGAAACAATAGTTTCTCTTCTGAGAAATAATTTTTTAAATCACTATTTAAGGTGCAATACCATTTTTAAAAAATAAACCAAAATAAAACACTATCCTTCCAGGAAAACTATTCATTTATTCTTCTTATACTGAATAAATAATACTAGCAATGGCAGCTAAACATTTACTCAGTGCTTACCACAGGCCAAACAATGTACTAAACAACCTTCCGTAGACCATTTCATGTAATTCTTTAAAACATCCCTAGGAAAAGTACTATTATCCTCATTCTAGAGATGAAAATTGAGACTCAGATTAAGAACCACATCCATGGTCACACAGGACAGTAAAGTCGGGATCTCAGCCCAAGCTCTAGAGTCCGAGCTTTTCCCCAAATTAGAAAAAGCTAACAATGCACTGACCTTTCCATCACAGATTACAATAAAATAATTGGTAAAAAGTGATCCTTCTGTGTGGCAAGTTGATTTAATCAAAAGAGCTCTTACCAAAAGAAGAGGCTGGAAAGAGAAAACGGCTATTCACAATAATCTTCCATCAAAATTTTACTAGTGAGGAACAAGTACCAATTGTATTGGATATTTTATGTTCTGATAGATAAAAAATACAAACTGACTACATAACTATACAATTACATAAATCAGAGCAGTAACATTTCCTTATTTTCAGATGCTACAACTGCCACTTCTCATTTGAAATTCTGATTTCTGTTGGTAACAGTATAATTAAAGGAGTAGCTAGACAATGAACCCACAAGACCAACTTAGTAATTTTCCTATGACTTGTATTCATTAAGAAAGCTATCTGATGGCTGATTCTTCTACTTTTTAAAAGGTTGAAAAAATCTATACCAGATATTGGCAAATGTTTTTTGTATAGAGCCAGGTAGCAGATATTTTCTGCTTTGTGGGCCACATAAAATCTCTGTCACAACTATCCAACTCTGCCACCGCAGCGTGAAAGCCACCATAAACAACACATAAGTGAATGGGTACCATTGTGTTCTAATAAAACTTTATTTACAAAATCAGGCAAGAACCATATTCTTCTGACCCCTGGCATGTACCTTGAGGAAACACGTCCTTTTTTCAAATTATAATCATAGAATTCAAGGAGACTAAAGTGGTAATACATGTATTATTCATTTTGAGCTTGCTACCCATCAGGACCAGTGAATATCTTAAGGTGTAATCTCCCACACAGACCAGATCATCTCCCGGCCACCATCTCCAAAGGGACTCATGAGGTATAGATAAGTCGCTTATTTTTTAAAATCTCATTTATCTTTTTTCCCAATGTAACAGATAGAGTACAAATTTAAAAAGTGGTGCTAAGGAGGCTGACTTCCTCTGATGACATGTAAGATGCATTTTCCTTATTGATAATGAAAATGACTTTCTGATTGAAATGCCTATTTTATAGGAACTATATATGCTATAGCTAAAATACTTAAAACATTTTAAACATTCTAATTTGATAATAAAGAGTAACAATAATAGCAGCTATTATCTAACTCATAATATTACAAAATTGGAAATATAAACCCAGTTTCAGAGAAAAAGCAGACTGCAGTGACTTGCCTAGCGGTACACAGCAGAGAGCGGCACCAGGATTCCACAGGTCTGTGCAGCACCACAGCTGCTTTACCAGACTGCTCATCACCAGTTCTGCTCAGTAACAGTTTTGTAGTGATTGTAAGCTCCCTCCTATAGCTTTTCCTTCTCCTTCTATAAAATCTAAATTTTTTTTTGCAATGACAGTCAAGACAAATATCAAAATTAATAGGAGCCCACCCCCCCCCCAAATTCCTGGATTAATTCAACAATCACTGTATGGAGCTCCTGGTTCTCAAATTCTCTGTATATTCCTATATATTTTATTATGTATGAGAATCTGAAAGTCCCTCAAACGCTCAGAATTCACCAGTGAGGTATTCTACACTTGCTGTCCCTCCTTGAAAACAATGGGAAGTGAGTCCTAAATTAACTTCTCAATACCAGAACTTCCCAAAGCCTGTCTCCATCTTTGTGCCACTTCTCAGGGTTGTTGGTGTCTCATGGTCACAAAAGTGACTCCTCCTGAAGGGTCTTCCAGATTTGAAAGCATGCTCTTAGCAGGATTAATTTTCTAGTCCAAAAGTAGTATACAGAATAAAATAAGTGTGCTGTTGCCTTAAGACTCCTTTTCCAAGTTGAAATGGTTTTAAAACATCAAGTTTCAAATATTTCTAATTGTATCCCAGTATTCAACATTTACACACCAAACGATATAATTTTAAATAGACTTAAGTATACCAATATTCTAAGAAGTCAAATAAATAACTTTGGAAAATACATATTATTGAGTATTCTTATTCCTTACTCGTTGAAGAAGTTTATCTCTGTAGTGTTCTACTTGTTCCTGAAAACTTTGGCCTGGTTTTTTAGGTCTTTTTCCAGATTCCAATTCATCCTGAAACTTCATAACTTTGAGCTGTGAAATAAAGCATTTTAAAAATAAGTATTTTTATCACTATAGCTTCTCAAGTACTACTTTGCTCTTTTTCTACAGCAATATGGTAACTGATTAGTTCTCAATCAAAATACCAGCTCATCTTAAGGCCATTTGTCAGACAAGCCTAACTACGTAAAATTCAACTGACCATGAGCCCACATGTTCTCTGCATAGCCATTAGAGAAATCAAAAGCCATAAACTGTGCCTCATGCCAATAAGAACCTACTTATTCTCTCCCAATACAATTATAATGAATTTGTTATCTGGTTCCCCAAATTAGAAATGCAAGGCAAGGTTGCTAAAAGCAAGCATACTGCCCGGAAGATATGACAGCCAACAGAACACAGATAAACAGACTGAAAAAAAAAAGGCGACAGCACTGCGGTTCAGCTGTGTAGGACCTAACACAGACCTGCGTAGTATGAAGGTTTCTATTTACAGCACAGTGCAAAAGGTTAAACTATACTAGAAATGTACTTTTTTAAGACAATAAGAATAAATACTGATTTTAAAAAGACCAGAAAAACTTCCAACTCCATTTTTTACAAATTATGTTTTAGAATGCCCATAAGTACACAAAACTACAAGATATTTACTACAGCATTGTTTGTAAAAGTAGACCATCTACATGTTTACCAAGAGATTTGTGGCTAACACACACGTGTGTGTGCACGTGCACATGCGCACTGGATAAAAATCTGAAAGCGTATACAAAAAACAGATATAATCAATTACAGGGAGGAAAAAAACTGGAATAAGTGAGCCTAATTTTACTTTTTATTCTGGACATTTAAGTAAAAATTTTTATTCTATAAAAAATGGTAAAAAATAAATTCATGATTTATTTTGAACTTAAAGATTTCACAAAATGGTTACAATAAAAACTATTTGAAGGCTTAAAGAAACTTAACTTATCCAAGAAATTTACAAAGGCAAGAATACCTTTTTATTGAACTAAGGGAGGGCAAGGGCAAATAAGGTAAAAAGCATGAGGTCTTGGAAAATGCTAGAGGCAGAGGTTTGGAAAGCACATGGATCCTGGATGGTACCACTGAGATGCAGTCCCAAGCCTGTCCTACCTTGTTCCACTTGAAGAGAGGGGGAAAACATTACTGTTTAATGAAATTATTGCATATGCTAACACCATATCCTATTGATATGTCCTTTAAGTGGACTAAATGCTACTATAGCATTTTATTTCTACTTTGAAAACAAGACCTCATTTGTTAAAGCTTTCTTTCCCCCTTCACCACAAAGGAAGCTTTCCAACAGAATGGAAACTACAAAAACATTTTCCCCCATTCAAAGTGGTATTTCCACTATTTTTGACTTACTGAATGTTTCTTTTAAGTTCTCTGATTTTTGTCCTTTTTCTATTTTCACTTCTGTGCTCAGGGTCTTTTATAATCAGAGCTTTGAGGCTCCCCTCTCCCCTTTTTTCAAAACTGTTAAGGCTGGGTGCTGTGGCTCATGCCTGTAACCCCAACACTTTGGGAGGCCACGGCGCAGGAGGATCACTTGAGGCCAGGAGTTCGAGACCAGCCTGGTCAACACAGTGAGGCCCCGTCTCTACAAAAAATGAAGATATTAGCCAGGCATGGTGGCACATGCCCATAGTCCCAGCTACTCAGGAGGCTGAAGCAAGAGGCTTGCTTGAGCCCAGGAGTTTGAAGCTGCAGTGAACTATCTCTTAAAAAGTCGGCATTTTTTTTTCATGTTTTATGATTACATTTTAAAACATAATAAGATGTAAAGTTGAGAAAGTATAGGGGGCAGAGGCATAAACGGCCAAGTTCACCACTGTGTGAAGTCTCCCGTGACCTAAGTGACCCTTCTATAGAATGTATTTGTAGTAAATCAGTTTAAGAGTTAAGTGTCTAAGAGTCAAACAACAGACCTAAATGTTACTTAGGGGAAAGGAGGCATTCCTAGAGAATCTTTTTAAAAATCATCATAAAATCACTATTTATAGTTCCTGCTGATATGGTCTAACTCAGGCTCAAGCACAAGTAGAAGGGACCCAGAAAACAGATGACCAAGGGTTTCAACACAAAAAAAAGTGGTCCATGGAATGGCTGGTTAGCTATCCATCCCCCTGTTGCCTTGGGACAATGGCCAGGTATCAGCTTCCCACACTGCTCACTCATTCCCCAGGGACAGGGCAGACCATTCTCCTCCAACAACGCAGAAGACCCATCACTTCACTCCCCACCCACGATTCTACTCCTCCAATCCCTGCTGGTAGAAATGGGGATAACAGTAGAATAGGAAAAGATAACTAGCCTAGGTGCTGCTCTAAGTGGTATCTGAAAGATTAAGTACTTCTGATCAATACCACAATATCGTATGGCTACAGGTTTTTTGTTTTTACAGAGAATGTTAATATTTTATAACATAAATCATTTGGTTTTCATTAATCCCATGCTAAAATGTTCAGCTATAGGCACCTTTATTATGACACATTTAGGGACGGGAATAGCAAAAAGCAAAATTGTAACATATATACTATATGATAAAACTAATTTAGAACTTTATTCTTTATTCAGTGGTTCTCCAATAAAAGGATTAGTTCTCACTGGATTCCAAATCCAGAAACTGATACTAAAATTTAGGGGCAGAGAAGAAAGATAGGAAAAGCACTGGGATGAAGCTCATGAGCCCTGAGTTCTAGTCTAAATTCACCACCAGTTGTGGAAGTTTTCCATATGACTAAATCTTTAGATAATTCTAGGATGAAGCCAAGATCTACAGTTCAAAATTAAGGTTTAGTTCATAGTTCAAATCCCAGAAGGACAAGTTGTGAGGACCAGTCTCTATGAGAGCCGGAAAAACAATCACTGAATACATAACAAAGTAGGGAGAGGCCAGATTATAAAAGATCACATGAAGCATGGAAATGTATGCATATCAGGGGTGGGTGTGTGTGCACATGCACACGTGTATATAAATACACAGTGTTGAAATGATAATATTCATAAAAACCACCCAAGTTAACAAAAAACTAAATTATATGGTTTAAGTTAATAAGGAAATAGAACATTTTAAAAGGATTAAATAGTCTGTTTTGGCATTTATAAGGGGGTAGCTTCAATTAACAACAAAATACATTTTTACTGAACTCAAGTCTTTATTTCTACTCCAATAGTTTCAAAGCTCTGAAAGCAAAAGCTTCTTAGTAAGGTAGGACGAGTGAAAAAGGGGCTTGTGCAAGCAAGTTGAAAAGGTCCACAGGTGAATGTGTTCACTGACACACATCTTATTCCCCTAAAAATCTTACTAAAAATGTATATAAATATACCCCAAGAAAAATGAATTAACTTATTAAATCTAAAAATCCCTTATCTCCACTTACAATTCAAACAAAATGCTTCCTCTGTTTCCTTTTCAATTTGGTGATACCTGAGAAAGAGGTAGGCAAGAACTCATACTAGCTCAACAGTGACTATGTGGCGAAATGGAAATGAGGTAACTAATGCGGCAGGTATCATAAATTAGTAAGAGGAACAGTGCTGACACACAGTAGGTATTCAAAAGTACTCTTAAATGAAGGGACAGAGTATTAAAATTCATTCTCATGCATTCTTTTTAGATTCCAGACTGACTGCTATACTATTGCTAGCATTTACTGGAATGTTTCACCACCTTGGGGCATTATGAAACCTTTCTCTCTCTGATACGTCTAAATAGCCTTTGATAAAACATAAGGCATTAAAAAAGGAGAGGGGATGAAAAAAGAGAGGAAAAAGATAATCTGGGCTCTCCCGTACATGATTCCTCCCTTTTATTGTTAAGACCTACCCAATGTCTACTCTCCCTCTCATCATTAAAGGTACAGACATTTAAAATGAAACTACTATAATAAAATGTAAACATAACGTGAGAATTTGTTTTTTTTAAGAGATGGGGTCTCACCCTGTCACCCAGGCTAGAGTACAGAGGTGCAATCATAGCTCACTGCAGCCTCAAATTTCCACGCTTAAGCAATCCTCCTGCCTCAGCCTCCCCAGTCACTGGGACGACAGGTACACACCACCACACCCAGCTAACTTTTAAATTTTATTTTGTGGAGAGACAGGGTCTCACTATGTTGCACAGGCTGGTCTCAAACTCCTGACCTCAAGTGATTCTTCTGCCTCAGCCTCCTAACGTGCTAGGACTGCAGTAGAAAATATTTTACTTTCCTAGTTACATGCTATGTACACTCACAATGTAATGGATCTCCTACATTATATACACATATTACATATGCATATACACTCTTATATAATCTATTCATTAGAATCTGTTTCTTCAGAGGATCTCCTATACATTACGTACTAAAGATACAATGATTAACAGAAATCAAACATAGTCCTTACCCCTCATGGAAACTGCAGCCTAGTGGGGAACATAGACATTAAACAAGTAAGCAAACAAAACATATATACATACACACACACCACAATACATATAAAATCACAGAGAGATAAAAGGGTAAAGCAAGCAAGTCCAGAAGGGTAAGAAAAGGCTACTGTGAGAGAAGGGAGGCTTAAACTAAGAGGCCTAAAAAAAGTGTCACTGGGTATGAAGATTTCAAAGCAGAGAGAGAACAGCATGTACTAAGCTATGACGCCAAGAGGGAGCTTAGTTTGGTGGAGAAAGTGAAAGGCCAGTGTAGTTTAAACTCACTGCAGTACTAACCTCAATTTCACGAAGTTTAGCTCGTTTTTCCTCACTCATTTCAGAGTACTTAGAGAACTTGGACTCAGTCATTTCCTCTTTGATTGGATTAGAATACAGGTGATGTTCTTCAGATTTGGAACTTTGAGTATCTTCTTCATCTTCACTTTCTTCTTCCTGACTTTAGAAATAAGCAGAATACATTGTATGTCAAGGCAGCAAAAAATGTGTTACACTTTACAATCTAGGTATTTTGTTTTTCAGTGTTAGAGCTTAAGTAATGCTATTAATAGTAAAACATAAGAGGATAATTCATCCCTAAGATAATTTTTGCAAAATATTTGATCAAATATTTTATGGACGATTTTATGAAACTGTTGTTTCCTCCACAGAAAGGGTATGAGCTTCAACATAATCATACTTTAATAAATTCCACTTTGGGCCGGGCGCGGTGGCTCACGCCTGTAATCCTAGCACTCTGGGAGGCCGAGGCGGGCGGATTGTTTGAGCTCAGGAGTTCGAAACCACCTGAGCAAGAACGAGACCCCGTCTCTACTAAAAATAGAAAGAAATTAATTGGACAACGAAAAATATATAGAAAAAATTAGCTGGACATGGTGGTGCATGCCTGTAATCCCAGCTGCTCGGGAGGCTGAGGCAGGAGGATCACTTGAGCCCAGGAGTTTGAGGTTGCTGTGAGCTAGGATGACGCCACGGCACTCTAGCCCAGGCAACACAGTGAGATTCTGTCTCAAAAAAAAATAAATTCCACTTTGGTTCTAAATGCTCACTGAAAAGAAAAATAAATAAATAAATAAATTCTGCTTATGTTAATGTTATATGTGCCTTTCATTCTGCAACAAACTTTTCTTGAAGCAGTTAAATGAAATGAATAATCAATGGTTTCTGTAAACGTTAGTTCGGAGTGAATTCATGAAGCTTTGTTTTAAAAGCCAAATGTGTACCCTTCCTTCATCAGAGCCTATAATCCAGAAAATACATGAGTTTGAGTCATAGAATTACTGTGAAACAATATAGCACGTAAAGATCTTATCTGATTAGCACATAACCCTAAGAATAAAGCAATGTGTAAATTTTAAATATTAGCAAAAGTCAGTGCTTATGGCTGATTCTGAAAGTTGTACTGCTTCTGGGTCAGACAAGAACAAAATGAAAACCTGAGTGACTACCATGGGTAAGTCACTTAGGATACAAAAAAAAAATTCTCCTATCCTTCCAGAAGCAATCTAGTGGAAAAAGACAGACAGGCATCAGTGCTAGAAAAGATTAACAAAATGTTCTTAGAGCATAAAGAAAGAATGGCTTTTTTAAAAAAAAAGTTTCATATTCTGAGACTGGGTTTTGTGTGTATGTTATTGGCAAATAAATCCAGGCAAAACAAGACATCCATGTACTAACAAGCTCAGAATGTTTATGCATATACCGACAATTCCTTACAAATAATATAAATTGTGATAATAACATTACTGGAATAGCCTGGAACAAATGCCATTTTGCCTTTAATATTTGAACATGGTAAGCCCTTCTACATTGGTATAAGTGTTCTAAATACATTCTATAGTAAGCAGAGTCTTTTCAGTATACATTTAAAATTATTTCTAATAATGTAAAAATAGTTATAATCTTTCCAAACAAAGTTTAATTAAAGCCTTATGTAGTAAGATTCACACGCTGAATGAGAAAAATTTAAGCCAGACGGGTAAAAAGGAAGTGCTGGCAATTCAGAATCAGAAAAGATATGGTACTGAGACGATGACTCTGCTACTGTTTAATTTCTCATCCAAAGGTACTTTCCAGAACGTTACTAAAATACTTTACAAACTTCATATTCAGAGCCCCCTAAATCATTTATATCACATATAGGTACAACTCAATACAATACTTAGGTAAGGGTCAAAACCAACCATTAAAAAAACCATATTCTTGGCCGGGCGTGGTGGCTCACGCCTGTAATCCTAGCACTCTGGGAGGCCAAGGTGGGTAGATCGCTCAAGGTCAGGAGTTCGAGACCAGCCTAAGCAAGAGCGAGACCCCGTCTCTACTAAAAAAAAAATAGAAAGAAATTATCTGGACAACTAAAAATATATATAGAAAAAATTAGCCGGGCGTGAGACGCCACGGCACTCACTCTAGCCAGGGCAATAGAGTGAGACTCTGTCTCAAAAAAGAAACCATATTCTTTTTGGAAATAATCAAACTTTAAACTTAGTACTTCTCATTAATTTTCCAGAAACTTTCTAAATGTAGTTTTTAGTTAATTTTTTAAAACATGAGAATTCCCTTTTTTATGATATGTGGTATCTATGCAAAGGAAATTATTTAACCAATTCTAGCCTGTTATTTAAAATTTTTCCCCTTCTTGCAATTTCAAACATTTCTTGGTAAACATCCTTGTATGTTGATCTGAATGCTTTTATTCAATCACAGATGAATATAGAACAGGCAAATATATGGATTGACATGGAATACCCATGACATGAGTGAAAAACATGAGTCACAGAGTGGTTTGTACAGTACTATATCATTTATGTTTAAATAGCTATGCATGTTTATACATACATAGAAAAGATCTAGATAAATAGGCATTAACCATATTAAGACTTTTAAAATGAACTATAATACTCAATGACTTAAAATATATACATACTTTACAATTGTTATTGTAACTTTCAAAGCCTGAGCAGTTTGTTTTAATGGGTTTCGTCATTAGCTCTTAGTCACCAGGTCTAGGTTCAAATCTCATCACAGCTTCCTCTTGTGGAAGTGGAAATTCAAGACTAAAACTATACAGAATTCATTACAAATGAAATTACTTTTTGTAACTTTTCTCCAAAGCATTAGTAGTGCTATATTTTTCTTAAATAACATTTCTGCCACAAATGTAATAATTACTAGTTACAAAAAGCAGCCTTAAGGTAAAATGGCATTTTGGAGTCAGCCACTAGAGAGTAGTAGTGAGGCACAAGAAAATTTCAAGCACAAGAAAGATATAGTAAAAGTTTTTTCCCTTGCTTTGTACTTTCATAGTTATTTACATTACCACGATTTATCTGGAGTTCCTAAGAAAAGTCAAAAAATATAAATTGTACTTCTAGTGATCCATGTTTCTATTAACATATGGTTATTCCAACATCAATGCTAAAATGTACTCATATTCCAAACATTAACACAAGTAACAGTTTTATGCCAAAAAAACCCTTAAGCCTTTAGAAATAAAACCAACAGCACAATATATTTCAGTTCTTTGATGGCTTTTCGACCCTTCCTTCTCCTTAAATTATTTTATGAGTACATACATTCATTTTAAAACAGTGAATCTAAAATGTTAAGATGTTACTAATGATAGGATCGTGGACATAAAAAGGGTTAAGAAAACTATGGTTTTAAAGCAAAAACTAAACTTCCCAATTCTTGTATTCCTAAACAGCTCTTTCCATTAGCAAGCCACATCTATATTTTGTAAATATTTTGTCATAATTACTTGCTGACTTATTCTGATCACACCAACATTTCTGGGAAGACATCATTGTGGACAAGTTTTCATCATAATATGAAACTGTTTCTACAAACTGCTGATTGATTACATTTCCCTAACAATCCGAATGCCCATTTACTGAATCTACACAAATGCCCATATTGTGCTAGCTAGGACACAAAGGACTTTCCCTTTATTCTCTCTTCCTTCCATCTGAGAACAATAAAAGAACATAAAGATTAGGAAAAAAAAAAAAAAAAAACAGAAACTTCTGCTTTGTGTTCATGATGCCATTTCTTCCTAATTAAAAAAAATCAACTTCCTTTCAATGATTTAAAAAAATGTCAATCGCATCCTAAAAACTACCAATACCAACCTGCAGGAGAATTTGGGAGCAGAGATTCCTACAATCACAGTGTCAAATACAAAAACAATTTTGGGGTGATTACCAGAGAGCAAAAATCAAATTTATAAATAATTTCTCTATACTTCAAAGGAAATGGCTTTCCCCACCCCCTTTTATTCATTCCTAGTTCTTCTGAAGTATTTATATTTAAATAACAGAATGGTTATAATGCAGTACTTTTCTTAGTAATGTACAATCCAAAAAAAAAGGAGCATAACCTTCCCTATTCACATTTTAAAAATCACTTTTGCTGAAGCCCAAAATAATATTTGATAGCAAAGATTTGAAACAAATACATTTGATCAATTAGTAACTACAAAGTGAGAATGCATAACCTAGCATAACAAATGAACTCAAAAGCAAAGTGAAACCAGATGCATTAAGACCAGAAATCAAAAGCTCTTTATTCACTGGAAAACCAATGGACAACTAAAATTGATCCTCTCCCAAGTTTTTTAAGAGTGAAGTTTCCCTCTTCACTATTATTCCAACCATACCTATTAATGAAAACAGGAGTGTATATGAACAAGAAACTGAGAATATTCGAAACCTAGATTCTTACTTTTGATTTTCTTCTTCTTCTGATTCTTCATGCTGGTCAAATAACTCCCATTTAGAAGTTGTTACGGCTGAATGGAAGGAAAAAGAGGATGTAATTCCATAAGGTAAATTAACATTTTTGCAGCAGCAAAGTAGAAGCCAAGCTTTAGAACTGAAAAGTTTGTATTACAGAAGTTTTTATCTATGTTTATCTATTCTTTGAATAGCCATTTATATGTGCTAAATCTCTTTTTCCTCACACCTACACTATAATTTTATTCAAATTCATAAAGTAACAAATAATGTCATCCTTATTTCTGTGCTGGATGGTAAGATTTATTTCATTAGAACCTACAAATACAACAATTACATGCTATAAGCACTAGGATACAGGCCCAAGTAAGTTTGAAAGGCAGGCCTAAACTGCATCTAATAAGTCTAGTATTATGGGAGGGTCAAAGCTTGGTTTCTCTGAAACTGACCTCTAAGTAGATTTCTAAATAGGTACAGGGTCCCGTCTACATTTTCTACTAAAATGCCTCAACCTAAAAGGTTTTCAGTGATTTCTCTGATTGCTCTCAAAGCTTCCAAACTGAAAGACCTAAGAAAATTATAATAGCAACACAAATCACAATAAAAACTTATACTAGACATAAAATATAACATTGGGTATTATGGCTGAAATGTTATAAAACATAAAAGGAAAACATACACACAAACACACAAATGATTAATTTATAAGCACTTAATTTTTTGAGGCTCAATATTTATTGAACTTTTACTCACCTTGCGCTTCCAATTCAGATTCATCTACTGCTTCCCATTTTGATGGGGCAACTTTAAATATAGGCTCATTCTTCTTTGAGTCTTCAGTTGCATCCACTATTGGGGGAAAGATGAGCCATTAACCCTAACTACTAGGAGATAACTCAAATTAATGGGCTCATGGGTAGTCACTATATTATTAAAAAGCAAAGCAAAATAAGGCTACACATTGACAAATAATGATAGTATTAAGAACAAGGATTACAGCTAATCCAATTCTCCATATCTGAGGTCCGATTTTTAAACAGTATATATATATCAACTCAGAAAATGCAGGTTTGTAATATTCTAAGCAAACGAAGACGATGAGAAATAAAACAAATCTTTAACACCTTTACCTAATTATTGTCTAAACCACAAAATTCATACACCACTCAATATTTTAACATATAATTCAAATGTACTGAAGATCTGTGTACGCTTTGTATTTTCAAAATTATTTTAGGCAGCTAGGAAAATTGAACCTGTTAAGTTAGTTAAACTAAGAGTAAAAACAGAACTGATAAGACCAGGTACTTAGTATTATGAATATAATTGAGCATAAGATTTTTTGCCTATAATTTCCTGACAAGACAAAAAGAGAAACTTGCTAGTATTACAGGAGGCTGACTGTCCCCACAAAGAAATGTGACCAGAAAAAAAAGCCTTTTTCTTGGCCCAAAGTCAAACGTATTACTGGGTATTTAAATTTTTAAAAGTCAAAAATGAAACAAAAAAGTTAGTAACGTGACACCTTAATGAGAAACTATAACCTTTTTCCATGTATGGAAATTAAAGCATTTTGGTAATGAAACCTATTAGAAAGATTTAATCAGTTTGAAATTTGAAATATGAACTTACAAGGCACTCCATCAAGATCATCATCAAGACTTTTTATAGGGATTCCATCAAGATCATCAATGGGAGTAGCATCAATAGGAATTCCATCCACATCTTCTAGAGGTGCACCATCAAGCTCTTCCTCGATAGGGGCACCGTCAAGGTCATCTGGTACATCCTATGGAAATATGTATACTGTAACATTTTCCTTTCCTTGGTAAAGTCATATTGCTATTAATTTGCAATCCAGTACAAGCCAACTTAGCTGGATACCCACATTCCCAGGTACAATGTAAGGACATCATAAGGGGGAAGCCAGGAAATCAGATAATCACAACAATATACATATAACTGCAACTATGATAACTGCTACAACAAAGAGATACATCATACTGTTAGAATGCGTAATAAGTAACTTTTACTTAAAGAGGTCAGAGAGGACTCTCTGAAGTGACCCCTATGTTGAGATCTCAAGGATCTCAGGTAAAAGGAAGCTCCAGAAAGAGGGAAGAACATGTATAAAGGCCAACATGAGGTAGAAACACAACACATTTAAGAAACTGAAACAAGGACCACGTCGGTTGGAGCAATAAGGCCAATTAGAAGGCTACTGCAGCAGTGTAAGTGAAAACATGATAGCTTGATTAGGATGGCAGAAATGAAGATGAAGGATTCAATAATTACCTAGGAGGTAAAAAGTAACACAATGGTGATGAATAGTATCTGCTACCATAGTGCTGCATCTTTTCATGTACATGTTTACTTATACAGCTATCTTTAACAAAATGAAGTCATGCTACATATACTGCTCTATTACTTACTCGTTTCTGTTATATATCATAAGTCTTCTTATCAAATAACAAAAACCCACCAATTTTCACATAAGGACACAAGACAGAGAACTCCTATTATATTTAATTTGGACTCCTGGGCTCCAACAATTCCAGCAATAAAAATTCACCAGTTAGTGGTAAACAGTGGATATATTTCACAAAGAAATGTTACTCACTTATGTAGCATATCACACCTCCACAGCTCCCTCTACCCCAGAAACAAATTTCAGAAACAATCAGACAAATATACTGAGTGCCTACCTCTGTTTCTTTTTCTTCAATAATATTTACAAGTCCTAAGAAAATATTTTGTAGTTTGATCAAAAATGGTTCTGGATAAATTGCCCAATCTTCCCATGCTCTGAAGCAGGTCATTACCCGTTGCTAAATAAATAGGAAATAGATGATGAATTGTTATTTAGGGCTGTATATCTCCAACTTCAATTCATGACAATGACCATCAAGATTTGCTAAATTTTCTGTTGAAGTGACATTCTTTAAAAACTTTAAAGAAGGCCGGGCACGGTGGCTCACGCCTGTAATCCTAGCACTCTGGGAGGCCAATGTGGGTGGATCGCTCAAGGTCAGGAGTTCGAGACCAGCCTGAGCAAGAG